CATCCACTTCGCAATGAAAAGTGAACAAGTAAAAATCAAACTAATACCCATAGTTTCAATACTAAACAATTTTTATTTATTCCTTTCTATACATTGTTAATGAAACGATATCAATAGTATAAACTGTAGACAAGTTGCACTATACAACCACATATCAATCATGTATAGATACAATATGTATTAAATAAGAGTAGATAATAACATTTAAAAAAATTTTGAAAAAATAATCAAAATTCAAGTTCTAATTTTAGTTGATAGGACTATAGTCTAAATTTAAAAGTTCTTTTCATAATCAATATCTAAACGTGTTTTAATTGAAGTTTTACAAGTAAAAATAAAAAACCTATTGAGTAAATTTGACAATATATATATCTTAGACTGAAGTGGTATCTTATGCTACAGATCTATAGAATTATTCGAATAATTTTAGACACAAAAATTTTATTGACTTTCTTTTTCTAAGAAGTTAAAAGATTATAATATTTTTAATTAAACAGAATCACAAATAAAAATCTATTATATATTATTTCAATCCAAATAAGAACTATTGGAATCAAATAACAAGAATGTGATATCTTTAAAAATTAATTTTCTCGACAAACAAAATAATCAGAAAAATTTCATTCCATACATCTTTACTTAAATAGTTAAATCCATTGATTTTTTAAATTACAGAATCAATTATTAATTTAATTCAACTAACCTTAGCATCATCTGTATTATAAATAAGTGCTGTATAAATAGCTGTTGTTAAAACTTTGCATGTTTCCACTGATGTTTGTTCATTAGCTACATCTTTAATGTGATACCTATCAATAACAACAACAAACAAAAAAAAAAAAATAGTTCAAAAATTCGACACAAAAGAAAAAAAAGAAACAACTTTGCTGCACGAACAAATTCATAATCTGTTGGAGATAATTTGTTTCTAATATCATATTTATGTATATTTGGTAATGTTTTTACAACTGTTTGTTTACCATCCAATGAAACCATACTTAAACGAAACAAAAAAAATAGAAATATTAATTTAATTTAAATTCATCTACCGTAATAGAGCAAACGCTTTAATATCACGTTGTTCTACTATGGAATTTTGTAGCTAAAAAAAAAAAACAAATTCAATTTAAATAAAAATAAAGATAATTATATTTCTTTTCTTTTTACTGGTATTGCTGCCATTATTTTTCCACTTGCTTCATCATGAATTTCTGATATAATTAAAACTGATGGGCAAAGTTTATCAATGGATAATTCATAATTAACATTAGCTTGATTACATGTCGAACTTACGAATAAACCATCTTTAAGTAATTGTGTACATGGAAATTCAAAAATCTATATATCTATTTTTTTTGGAATCAAACAAAAAAAAAAGAACAATAGAACTTACTTTTTTTGGTTCGAGTGTGTAATTGGAATTTATATTTATTGCGCAATCATAATTATTAACTATTTGTGTATGTAAACGAACTGGAATTGCATCAGCTTTTGACTAAAATAAATATATTGAGAATGAATTTATACAACAAAAAAAAAAATTATTATATACTTGAATGGCTATTTGAATAATGCCTGCAACAATAAAAGTAAATATCATAACAAGCATTCCAAGAAACATTCGTTGTAAAGGTCTAAAATAATATATATTTTTTTTTCTCGAAAAATTTTCTTCGTTGTTTATTATTATAATAAATTATTTTACCTTATTAAAAAATTACAACGAGCACATGCTGGATAAATAATTTCTTCAAAAAGTGGAATGAATAGAAGTACAAATAAACTACTGCATGCTTGCATTTGATCAGGTTGAATTATACCTAATGGGCCCTAATTATTCGAAAAAAAAACAATTTTGTTTTTGTATTGTTTAATAATTAATAAGAATTCTTTTGTGAAAATATACATACAAGATTTCCATTCATTAATGATGCTTGATATGTCCAACGTGAACCTGTTTGATTGTATAAAGCATGAAAAATTGGAAGCGGAGTAAATAAAAGAAAAACACTAAGTACAGCACGAACATCGTCCATATCCTGAGTCTAAAATGAATAGATTAATATTTAAATAAGCTATTAATAATGATAGTAAGAGTTCAAAAAAATAAGTTATTCAATTTTTTTGACGATTTGTTAATTTTTTTATTGATTTGAAAAATTATTCATTGAAATCTTTTTTTCTTGCTTTTAGTCTCGAAACATTAACTAAAAGTATCAATGTTTAATATGAACAAAATTTTTTCTTTTTTTATGTCTCACAAAAAATCTTAAAATTAAAATTAGAAATTCGATAATAAATTAAGAGCCTAATAAAAATAGGTTATAAATATTAATTCTTTTCTAATCTTTATAGACAAATATTTTGATTTTGAAGCTATTACTTATTTATTTTGTTTTGCAAAAAAATCTTTCAATCAAAATCTCACTACTTAAGCTATTTTAAAATTTCTTTATCATACATTATATTTATCATCAGCATAATAGATCCAATGTTCTTTTCGTCCTGATGATGGGTGACATATTGCATTTTGTATTGCTCGCTGTCAATAAAAACAAATAGATAAAATTAAAGATAATCTTTTTTCCTTTTTCTTACTAAAATAACAGCTATAAATCTCATAATTATATTTTCTTTTGGTGGAACACGTTTATATAATGGTGTACCAGCAATAAATATTACTAGAAAATATAATAATGAAATTTTAAGTAAAAAAGGATTTTATAAAATATTTACTAATAGCTATTAACATTAATACTGATGGAATACCAAAAGCTAATGCATAGCAATCATAACCAAAACAATGAACTTGACCTAAATAGATAAATAACAAAAATAAATATCGATTGAAAACTTCTAAATTACTTCGAAGCATTGGTGTTATTACAGTCGAAATTAATGAACCAAAATTAATTGAAAAATAGAAGAAAGCAAAAAACCGACTTAATGTTCTCGGCTAGAAAACAAAAACAAAAAAATACAATCCAAAAATAAAACTTTCTTTAATATATTACATTAGTCAGCGATATTTGATCAGCTCCAAAAGCACTAACACACGGTTTAATTCCACCTGTTCCGAAAGCAATTAAAAGTAAACCAATTATGGGTCCAGCTCTACAAAAATATAATAATAAATATATTTAATATTCAATAATATAAATTAATCATACAAATGTTTGCCACCAATACTTGGTATTGCTGTTACTGTTAAAATACATGTTCCCAAGAAATAAATCAGTGATAAAATTACAATAGTCCAATAACGACCAATAAAACCATCCGATATAATAGCTCCAATAGTTGGTGTAAAATAACATGCAAATGAAAATAAATGAAAACCTGATGTTGCTGAATCTTTATTTAATTGAAGATAATACATAAAATAAAGAAGTAAGATTGTTTTAAGACCATAAAAACAAAAACGTTCACATCCTTCAACAAATATAATAAAATATGCTGATCGTGGTAATGGAATTCGTTTATTTGTAGTTAAATCAGGATCACTTTGACTTCGTAATGGTGTACTAGGTGGAGTAGTATGAGGTGTTCCCGGTACTATATAGAAAAAAAAAAATTTATATATATTTTTTTCTTCTTTTACTAATACGAACGTCCAGCTGTAGCTGCAAATACTCGATCTTTGTGTGTTAATTCTATGTGAGTCATTTGATTTCAATCGTTTGGTGATATTATCTGAAAAAAAAACAAATGGTATAATATTACGAATATATTTGTCAAAAAATTAATTACTATGAGTTTATAGTAAAAACAACCACATTATTGGCAGAATAAAAAAAATAGCTATTAGAAAACAGTATTTGATCCAATGAATTAAAAGCAGTAGAATCAATATCAAAATCAACATTTATTTTTCTACTTATTCAAACGATATATAAAATAGAAATCGATTAATAAAATTTATTAAAAATTTTTGTGTCTAAAATATTCATGTTTTAATTTATTTGATAACTGATTAGTTGAGAGAGGTCGCAAGTAAGAGTTGAGTATCGCAATTGTTAATATATAATTTAATCAATAGGAGAACTTATTTCTTTTTCAACTACTATAATCTTTACATTTCTCTGTAATCGTATAACTATTGCAGTTAGGCAACTATTTGTCATTAAATAATATACTCATGATATGTTTTTAATGACTAGAACTATGACTGTTATCGATTTATCAACAAGTAGAAGTATTTCAAGTGACCATGATAAATCATTAATTCATGTTTGCCAAATATTATTACTCCTCCTTGCTTTTTTAATCAATTCAATTTTCGTATTCCTTTCATACAGTTAAATAAATTTAAATTAATGAAAACAAAAATTTCATTAAAAAAAAGCAATCTTACATTATTAACACACAAAGTTTTTTTTTTAAATAAATAATTAATTGCTAATTATTAATAACATCGTCATAAATGATTTCAGAACTCTTCTACTCTCATTTGATTCTATTGTACAGATAGAGACCGTATCAGGTTCTCAAGATTAGAGATTATAGAGAGAATGTCTCACAGAGGTTATAAAAATTCAAAAAAAACCAATCTTGCTCACTTTTACTGGACAATAACGAACAATTTTCACTGATTGCGAGCGGTGTCAGCAAATCGTCCAACTAGAAAAAATCTCATCAGCGTTAATATCCCCTTACATTTATGCTTATCACTTTCTATCTCAACAATTTATATTATGTATCTTCATGTAGAAGATGTCTTACTAAAGTGTAGATGTTATCCTTCTTTTACTCGACATCGACTTCGACACTCATATCAACACATGCCACACCCTCCACATTTACAGTTTCTACTGATAAATACACAGTAGTATGATCATTTATTGCTTAATTTAGCCTAATTTTATCTGTAAGATCATAAATGTAGTAGTGAATTTTTTCTAGTTAGATATTTCTCGAGAGTATACACCCTCCCTCCTTCCATTTTCGCAGCTCTTGTATGTAAGCAAAATATTCATCAACGAATTTGTTAGTCAAATTATATAAAATTTGGTTAAACATTCTTTAATCAAAAACGAAAAAAATGATTTATCATTTTATTGCACATATTAACGAAAACTAAAGTCAAAATTATTTAATTATGTTATCAATTTTAAACAGAGGGAAAAAAAAACGATAATTAGACGCTATATACGATATGTTTATCTCGTTCAAAAAATTCAAACAACAAAACAACAAATAACATATAGAAACACAATACTAAAAAGAAGAAAGAAAGCACCAAAACAAAACAAAAATATATATATAGCACCTGAGAAAAGAATATGTACTCGTTAACAAAGAGGACATGGTTGATGAGCGAAACTTTGTAAAAGTAAAAATGTTGTATTACAAATACATATACGATAAATACTTGATTCACTGCGATATGGATTTTCTATTAAGGGTAATCGTGGTAAATCAAGAAATATAGAATCAATTTTAAAATCTATATTTTCATACAATGTTTTCTATAAAATAAAAATAAAAACAAAAGATTTAAGAATAAAAATAGAATAAAATTACCTGCTGACGATTAAATAATTTTTTTCTTCGTGGATAATTACCAAAACGTAATATCGATCGATGATTACTTCTATTTCCTTCTATATTTAAATTTTGACCAGAGAAAACAACTGTATTCACATTACTGACTGTTAAATAATTATTTGCAGTAATATTAAGATGTTTACTATAAATCTAGATAAATAAATAACAAAATTCAATTTCATCATGTTAATCAAAAGTAAACAGAAAAAAAAATATTTTCAACATAAAATAATACAATCTATATCAAAGTTCAGAATAAATGGTAGAATATCATCTAAGTACAATGTCTAATAGCAAATTAAATTTAGGATTCAAATAGATCTAAAGTAATTGATAATATCTTCATGATTGAAGATCTATTGAAAGACTATACCACAGAATTTGATATTACCTAGAGAACATAATGTCATTCTTCAAAAGAATTATTCATACTTAGTAGTTGCTAATCTAAGTACAAAAAGTAATACCGCAAAGAAATGACAAATTGAGGTCGAAGAATTAGACGATGACAACAGATCAATCTAATGTATTCTATATCAAGATTTCATAGATGAACTATTATAGTAAGTTTCTAAAAAACTGAACACAGTAGTTTTCAGATCTCAGAAGATTTGTGGGAGCTATATATTAATAATGCCATTTTAGAGAGCACAAAATTCTGATCAACATAAGGGATTAGCATATTTTCTACGATCTTCCTTTAAAAATTTAAAAGTATTATGAAAATAAAAAATAGCTTTTTTTTGTTGATTTTCAACGGCTTTTGTGATGCTTTTAACTTTTTGAGCGAAGGTTATATAAAATGCGGCGACTTCTCGTTTTGTTCAGAATTCTATGCCCTTTAAAATAGTATTCTTAACAAATAGCTCTAACGAAGTTTTCTGAAACTTGGAAACTACTGTGTCCGTCTTTTTACAAATCTTGTCATCATAGTTCATCTATGAAATCTTAGTATAGAATGTATTAGACATAAAACTTCATTGACTATCAAAATCACTATCTGAATCTTGCGCTTAAAACCAGACTGACTCAATGCGGAGAATTCAAATTTCATGTAGCTCAATAGTCGTGTCACCTTAATTTTTCTAACGCAAAAAAAAGAAATTTTCTTACTCGTTTTGAATTGATACGATCAAGATGTATTCTTGTTCTTGTTTTATCATCAAATTTAAATGATTCAAGATTATTAAAATCTACTAAAGCTTCATTATTTATATGAAAATATTCAGTATTCATTGATATTTGATTATCATCAAATAATATCGAATCATGATCACCATACATATCAATCTATATATATATATATATATAAAATAAAAATGATATTATTTACTAAAATGAATAATCTTTTTATTAACCTGATTTTCAGATAAGAAATCAATTTCTAATGAATCTTCTATTTTAGTTGTATAAATTGTATCTTCAATTATTCCTCGATAATATAATTTAACTTGTTGATTGATTTGATCAAATTGAAATATTTTTGATCCATTTTTATGAAATGGTGACCAATCAAGTTTATACATAATCCAAACAAGACACTTAAAAAATAAAACATTTTACTTTTATTTTGAATCATCGATAGATCTAAGATTTCGGAAGGTGGCGGAAGCAGTTCTCTCATAGATTCGAGCTTTTTCTCGTTTACACCATTGTTACTACGTTCGATAAACGAGACACTAACTGTATTTCATCTAAGTGACATTCAAAAATCTGTCTTCACTTATTTTTTAACTTCCAGATGAGGATCTTATAAAAAAAAAAAGATGTTGAACATGCCCTAGAATCAAAAGGTTTCATTGTCTATCCCGCCTTCCTTCCCGCTCTGCCTAAATTCATCACTGAATTAACGTACTGTTAAGTTAATAAAACTAATTGAAAACAAAAAAAATACTGTTAAGATAACACAAATTAATTTTGTTCCATGTAAACCAAGTATTTTTGATGTATATATATCATTTGTGTTTATTGATACATAGCCAGCGTCCAAAATAACTACTGGACGTCGTCTATTATCATACCGATGTTTACCCATATCATCTAGAAATATACAATTATTATTATTATTATTATTAAAATCTATCAAAGAAGTTAAATAAAAGATTATTTCAAAAAAACAAAATTTGTCATGTATACAATTCTCTAAAGTATATCATCATCATCATCATCATCATCATGTTGATTATTTGAATGAGAATATAAATTATTTGGAATTTTATAAATAATTGTTTTCATAAATGATGCAGCACATAATGAAGAATATGGTTGCCATTCTTTATTTAAAGTTCCATCATGATAATCAGATATTCCACGTATAATCATAAATGATTCAATACGATTACCTTGTATAGCAGCAATAACTTGATCAATTTCAGAATCAAAACATAAAACATTACATTTATCATATAATGTTAGTTTAAAATAATCATTTGTTAAAATATTTTTTCCACCTGCTATCATACCAAAACGTATTATTGGTCGTAAATAATCTTTTTTTTCATTATTTGGATGTTCAATTTCAATTATTTCATTATTTTCCATTTTAATATAAAGTTCATCATTCGATGGTGGTAAACAATCAATATTATGTGAAAGTAAATATTTTATACCATCTTCAAGAAATTTTTCCCATGGATATTTATGTGTTGATAATCGATTTACATTTGTTTGTTGATAATTTTCTTTTATAGATTCTAATAATTTATAAAGTTGAAAATTTTTTGGTTTATAACATGTTGAAATAAATTCATAACCTTCGACAGATTGTTCTGCTTCATAAATACCTATAGAAAAGAATTTATTTTTCAATTCAAATCACTACAGATATTAGAAATATTTTCCTTAGAATATATTAATTAAATTTTTTTATAGTGATTAATTAAGAGGTCCCGCCTCCTTTTTCGAGGTCTGTCTAAAGTACTTATAAAAAAAAAACATTTGAGCTCAATCGGATGTACCGTATGAGAGGAAAAAGGTGTAAAACTTCGTCTTTTCATTCAAAAATTGATATTGAGAAAAACGTAAAACAAACTTTCCTGTAGGACATCCGGAGCGTTTTGCTCCAACTAAAGTAAACAGTATTCAGCGGTGTGACGGGTTCATGATCCATGCTCTCAGCACTTTTCAAATGAGAAATTATTATTATTATTATTAAGAGAATTTTGCATACAAAGAATAATCACAGCACAAATTTTTCTTCTAGAGATTTCAAGAGATGGGTTATGATAAAAAACCAAATATCGAAAAAATTTTGATTTTAACATCTAGAAAATGGGGGAGATCTTCTTAAGGAATGATTTTCTATTATATTTTGACGCATCGTACTTTAAAATAAGAGGAAATCTACAATATCATCTATCTATTAAGATTAGAAATTCATTTTGTTATTGAAACAGAAGTAACGAATATCATAGAAAATGTTTTATCAAGTTAGAAAAAAAACTGTTCGATTCGTACGAATATATTAGTAGTTCTACTCAAGGAATATTGTCTCGTTTATACTTGAGAAAATACAATTGTATATGGATGTAAATGAAGTTCAATTGTGTCAAAAAAAAAAATATATACATTGAGGAAAAAGCATGAATAGGATCAATCTTAATACAGATGGATAATTTTTACTATTGAATGAACCAAGAAGTAATATTGAACTTTGATCTTTTATTGACATTAAAAATACACCAGTATTTATTTATACTTTACATTTTTTTAAATTCATCTATTCAACTGTATTACCAATTATATACTTTCTTGTTCATCAATGATTGATCATTATATACTCCATAGACATGATACACGTTCACATATGTACATTGATAAATATGCTTAAGCAAAGGAAAAAAAAAAAGAAAAGAAAATAATATCTGCAGGGAATAATCTTATTTATCTTAGATATAAGAAAGAAATCGAACAACGAACAAATCACTATACTATAGATAATAATGAATTTTTTATCTTGATGAGAAAAGAAGACATATGTATTTGACATTGGAAATGTCATCTTTACATCTATATGTTGATATACACCTTCATACAAATTGATTATGTACAAAACATTGATTCATTAGTTATTAAATGCATACAAAAAACAAAAAAAAATTCTCATTTATAAACTGATACATTTTTTATATTTATTACTATTATAAATAGAGAATATTTACCATAAACATAATCTTCATCATTCGGATATCCAACTATAATATCTCCACGTCTTATATGTTTATTTACATCAGTATAATGAGGAATTCCACCAGCACAACCAATTATAAAAACATGTTGTACATATTGAAAAGTACCTAATAATCGAGTTGTTGTACTACCAGTTGAAATTTGTGCTGTTCGACTTCGACCGATTAATGGTAATTTTGTTGAAACAACATAATGTTTACCAATTGTACCAATTGTATAAACATTTGATTCACCTAGAGAAGAAAAAAAATATTTGATAATAATTAAAATAATTAATTAATTATTATTTACCTGCTTTATGTCTTACAAATGTTACTTTATTTTCAATCATAGCATCAACTGCTAATTTTTCAAAATAATTTACTGTTATAATTGCAATTGTTGGACGTAATGAATTTGATAATTCTGAAATTGATTTATAAAGAATAACTTCTAAATAACACAAAAACAAAAAAAGATTATATTTAAAATTAAAAGATTATTATTTAACAAACTATGAGTATGTTCTTCTTCAGCTGATATAATAATACGCGTCCATTGTTGACTATTATGATCAAGATGTTTAACAAGATTTTTATCTTCTAACTCAATCAGATATTGTAATACTATTTGATCATCACATTCAACATATCTTTACAAAACAAAAGATTATTTATTGATAAAAAAAACTAAATTAATTTACTTTGCCAAATCATTAACAAACATTGGATTAGGAAATGCTTGTTCAAGTAAATCTAAAAGTTTCTCTTTAATTAAATTAGCATTTTGTTGAAGAGTATTTCCATATACTAAATTCAAAAAACAAACAATCATCAACTATTTAATATTTTTATTTTATTTTAACATACTCGCATGATTATTATCAATTAATGTTTGAATTTCAAGTTCTAATTTTCTTATATTTGAAAATAATCTTAATAATTCCATTAATCGTTTAATAAATGAAAAATAATCTAGAGAAAATCAAAAAGTATCATACAAAAATAAAATTAACTTTTCTTTTTTTTTTTGCTAACCTCGAGGAAATTCATTAGATTTAAATAATGTTCGTAAAAATTCATTGGTATCATTGACATATTGATTTTGTTTAAAATGATTATTAAACCAAAAATATAATGTTCGATTTTCTTGATGTAATTTTTTTGTTTGTTTATCAACCATAAAAACTTTAAATTGAGTAGAAAATTGATGTGATTCATTATCTTGTACTACTAATTTACAAAACAAAACAAAACAAAAATTTTGTTTTTGTTTTTCTTTTTTGTCTACTAAAATTTACTTAATTGAGCATTTTTATAAATAATAAAATCAACATTTGTTCCATTACCAATATAAAGAATATTTTTATCTGTTGTGTCATCAATATATCGTCTTTCTATAGAAACTTTATTAATTGTTGAAGTTTTTTTTAATGGTATTAAAACAATATATTCTAGAATAATAATGAAGAAAGTGTATGATTAAAGAGATAATATCTAATGAGAATTTTATTACCACGAGATGAACGATATTGTTGCTGGTATGAAGACATTTCGAATATGTGTCTGACAAATAGAAATAAATTTTATACGGCCTTCTCTCTCTCTCTCTCTCTGTTCTCTGTGCTTGAATATATGTACAAAAAAAAAAAAAAAAACTTTTTTTGTGTATTGATGAACGACTCAATTCGCTCGTCCCATTGACTCTCTTTGTCTTCATGCATTAGTCGATCGATCAACTTGCTCTATATAAAGATTACGTCAAACGTCAAGAATTACTTATTCTTCTCCCTCTCTCTCTCTCTTATTTTCTCTTTGCTTTAACCTCTAGTCAAACCATAAAACTATAGTCTGTATGTCACGCAAAAGCAATTGCTGAATATTACATCTATGCTTATAAAAGTCTTCTCTTTCCACCACCTCCGATCCCAAGAGAAATTAATCGATGACGATGTGAAGAGTGACATTATTAATTCAATTAAACCATAAATTCGAACATAACTTCCATGTATGAAAAAGAAATAAGCAAAAAAGGAAATGATAGAACGAAGTATTCATTGAGGTGTCACTTAATAAATCATATCTAAAGTCTAATTCAATATCATCTATCAAATCATCATGTTCATTTATTGATCAATTCTCGTTTTGCACAAAAAAAAAGACCCACATTAATTTCAAATAGATCACAAAGAAAGATCTCTTATATTGTTTAGTTAAACAACTGACAAGATCAATTATATAATTGATTAAATTAAAATAAGAACACGAAGAAGTTTTTTATTTCCTTTTGACAATTTCTTCACTTCTTTTTTTTTCTTTTGCTTGTTCTTCTTCGTCATATTCTGACATCCGCTATCCAAAACTTATTAAGCAAAAGTATTCTCTGGATATGTTCGTATTTTATCCAATCATCATAGAAATTTCTTTCATCCAATCAGAAAAATTATAAAAATGAATATGAGGACTTGTAAACATGTAACTGAATATGGCCTATGAAAAAGAAACTATTTTACATTGAAATAAAACAACTAACAACATTTATTTATTTTTTTATTTTTTTAATATTATGAAAGAACTATTTTTGTATGAAATTTAATTTTTTTTTTGTTTTTTAGATCAGTTTCTTCAATCTCGTGAAAAAAAGAAAATAAAATCTATCAATATGGCTGATTTAATGTTAACCGATGATACAACTTTGGAAACAACAGCAACCGATATTCGAGTATTCGGAAAATGGAGTGGTGCCGAAATACAAATTTCGGATATGTCACTTGAAGTAAAATTTAATTTTAATTAAATTTTTTTGAAATAAAATCTATTGATTTTTTTTCATTTCTAGGATTATATTCTTGGTGCTAAAAAACCAAAA